TTTTGCAACTCGCATTTTGCTACTCGCAACTCGCATTTTGCAACTCGCAACTCGCGTTTTGCTACTCGCAACTCGCATTTTGCAACTCGCAACTCGCATTTTGCAACTCGCAACTTGCATTTTGCAACTCGCAACTCGCATTTTGTAACTCGCAACTCGCATTTTGTAACTCGCAACTCGCATTTTGTAACTCGCAACTCGCACTGAAGTAACACTCGCTGAGGAAGGCAGTAGATGCTGCCGAAAATTTTGTTTAATAGATATACATCAAAGTGTCAAGCATTTATTTTAACAACTGCAGTGTTATTCTATATGTACTTATATACATACATACACACATACACGCATACACACACACACACACACACACACACATACATGTAGGAGAGTCCAAGTGTGGACTATAGTACAAAACCCCGTTTTCGAGGACTTCTTAATTTTTGGATATTTATAAAAAACTAACATCAATTAATTAAAAATAGATGCCATATATGGTAAATATGAATTACAATTATGCTAATTAATATTATTTTTATATGTGTACAATACTATCTAAGTGAGGACATCGTGTGTGTGTGTGTGCCTGCCATTCTGAAGAATTGTGGACTATTATCACACAAACATTTAGGTAGGTCAAACTGTGGACTATCTGGTAAATCGTGGACTATTTATCACACACACATGTAGTCGGTCTAATGCTATCTAACTGAGGACATCGTATATGTGCCAATCTTGTAAATCGTGGACTATTACCACACACACACACACACGTATAGCTGGGTCAAACTGTGGACTATCTGGTAAATCGTGGACTATTATCACACCCACACATGTATAGCTGGGTAAATCGTGGACTATTTGTCACACAATATACATTAGCTTTGTCCAAATTGGCACTTCTGTACTACAATGGCGGCACTAGGATATTTTTTCTGGAGGAGCACTATACGCCGTCCGACAGGGGGACTTGAGCACATAGGTCCGAGCTGGGGGAAGTGTTTGAGGGGGGATGGTTATTTTTTAAAGAAGGAACCTTTGGATGCCGGAATTGCCCTCAGACTGTTACAGACATGTTGGCTTGGCGTGAGCCTATTATTATATTTTCTATGGTCTGACTGCCTGACAAACACGTCCAATGGGGTCTTAACCCTCCTTCCCCCGCTGGCGCCGTCACTGCTGTACTACAATAAACCTATATAATTATGGAATGTGTTAAACGAAGTTGTTTTATATCAATGATCTACATAATAAATGTGCATGGTTGTTTTTATAATTCAATACATTTTGAACTATACAGTCTATTTTATTAAAGAACTCTGCAATTAAAGGAAACTTCTTTGTGGCTCCAATGATCACTGTAGATACAATAGCAGTTACTGTATTAACATTTATTCTAATCCAAAGCTATCACAAACATCTCAAAATCCCAAAAGTCATCATTAATGAGAAATTTTTATACAGTCTCTTAAACAGTCTGTCCTATTACATAAGTTTAAAGGCATTGTTTTATTAGTATTCATATTTTGTACTGTATAGTAAATTTGCTTAAATGAATTTGATTCAGAATTTAAAACAAAATGAATAACAGATTATTTGATTTTTAACATCTAAAGCACAATACGAAAAACAAAGGCTCAAAAACAAATTACCAATGATTGAAAGTAGTACCAATGTATTTCAATGATAAATCATCACCCAAGTCAACACAACTATATTTATTAACATGTTAAAGATTATTATCATTTAGCCATAATCATAGTTAACACAACTATACTCATCACTATTTTTTAAATTTTTTTTTTTGGCAACTCATGCACTGTGTGCACGAAAGCTGTGTCAAATAAACTAGTCTTTAAAGTACTAAATGTTTTTTGAGTTTTATTTTCACTTCTTCAGGTGAATGTGAAGCTAAGAAACAGTATAGAGAGACAAAGTGAGTTAATTTATTCAAGCATTAAAATGAGACAAATGGGCTAAGGCAAATGCAATAAATAGTGTAACAAATGTAAATGATACGATAGGTCAGGGGTAAAAAATGTAGATTCCTGACCCCTGACCTATCGTGTCAATTATATTTTTTACACTGTTTATTGCATATTCCTTAGCCCCTTTTGTCTCATTTTAATGCTTGAATAAATTAACTCACTTTGTCTATCTATACCGTTTATGTTTAGCTTCACGTTCACCTAAAGAAGTGCACTGTGTGCGCGAAAGCTAGTGTACTGTCAAATATACTAGTCTTTAAAGTACTAATGTTTTTTGACTCATCAATATGTTCATGATTAATATGAACTCTAAATCATCACCCAAGTCAACACAACTGTATCCATTAACATGTTAAAGATTATTATCGTTTAGCTATAATCATAGTTAACACTACTATACTCATCAATATGTTCATGATTAATATTATCTACATTTTAATCATTATCTTTTTTTCTTTTTTTTTGGCAACTCAAATTTTTCCGCTAAAAGAAGTAAAGTTAGTGCTATTCCTTCACTTCTGGTAAATAATAGACAAAAATTTGGAATGTAAAATAATATTGCAAATAATAAATCATACAAATATAAATGTTATTTTAGATAAACATGCCTTATCGTCTAATGCAGAAAATGTTAAAAGCCAATTTTAGTGGTTTAACCAAAACCTTTAATAAATTTGGTTGGAATATTCTTGAATTAATGAATAAAAAATATAAATGACACGATAGGTCAGGGGTGAGGAATCTACATTCCTGACTCCTGACCTATTGTGTCATTTATATTTTTTACACTGTTTATTGCATATGCCTTAGCCCTTTTGTCTTATTTTAATGCTTGAATAAATTAACTCACTCTGTCTATCTATAAGAAAGTATAATACATACTCCAAGTATTGAAATACACGCCATCGTGTTGGGATTCAATATTTCAAAACACAGCTTTCGTGCACACAGTGCATGAGTTGCCAAAAAAAAAAATTTAAAAAATAGTGATGAGTATAGTTGTGTTAACTATGATTATGGCTAAATGATAATAATCAGGAATGATGATGACATAATTATCAGGAATGATGATGACATAATTAATGTCGAAATATTGAATCCCAACACGATGGCGTGTATTTCAATACTTGGAGTATGTATTATACTTTCTTATCTGAGATTAATCAGTGGACCTTTCGGTTTCTGTCTATCTATACTGTTTATATTTAGCTTCACATTCACCTGAAGAAGTGCATTGTGTGCGCGAAAGCTAGTGTACTGTCAAATAAACTAGGCTTTAAAGTACTAAATGTTTTTTGACTCATCAATATGTTCATGATTATTATTAACTCTAAATCATCACCTAAGTCAACACAACTATTAACATGTTAAAGATTATTATCGTTTAGCTATAATCATAGTTAACACTACTATACTCATCAATATGTTCATGATTACTATTATCTACATTTTAATCGTTATCTACTTTTTTTTTTTTTTTTTTGGCAACTCAATTTTTTTTGCTAAAAGAAGTAAAGTTAGCGCCATTCCTTCACTTCTAGTAAATAATAGACAAAAATTTAGAATGTAAAATAATATTGCAAATAATAAATCATACAATATAAATGTTATTTTAGATAAACATGGCTTATCATCTAATGCAGAAAATATTAAAAGCCAATTTTAGTAGTTTAAGAGAAACCTTTAATAAATTTTGTTGGAATATTCTTGAATTAATGGATGTCAATGAATGTATTACATTAGTTTATGATATTTTGATTCGGCTGTCAGGGACCTTATCATTACACAAGAAAAGCCAAACTACTACAAGCTTTAAGATCAAGAGAATACCATCATAACATTTTTAAACAATATCCACCTATAATAACTAAGCAACATTTTTGGGAGGGCAGGAAAAATTGTAAGTGTTATTAAATTTTAAATATGCAACTTATTTAAAATTTCTTACTACAAGTACAAATCAACATGGTTCAAATGTAAATGCAAAAATGGAAGCACTACAACTCGAGTCACACTGCTATCATAAACAACTAATTAACAAACTTATGCAGTTGCCTGGATTTCTTTACGATTTTGTTTCGACAGAAGTCCTTAATGTTTCTCCAGGACCTTCTGTAAAGTGTGTCCCCTTCTTTTCTTAAGCAGATATCGATATCTTTCTTACTGGGAATTATATTTGTGAGAATATGGTTTCCAAGGTGCCTCATAACGGCTGCAGCCTCTTTCTCAGTCCATGGTATTCGTGTTTGTTTCGAGTTGCTTGTTAGAGGTGGTGGTTGATCTTTAGAAAAACAAAATAAATGTTATAAATTAAAACACAAAACATTGTGATGAAACAGATAAAACAACTATAAAAAAGGAAAGAAGAGTCAAGCATTATTTTAAAAGAGTCTTATCTATTTTTTCGCAGTTGTGCCATGTACAAATGGTTAGGCAGCAAGGAAATATCCTGCGGGGTATGTCGGGGGGTATGTCTTAGTGACTGCTGAGGGAAGGGTGTATAAGAATATGATCTGGTGCTTTATGATTATTACTATTTTGAATAAAGAATGTTTTGAGCAGTGGACCCCACCGGGGGGGGGGGGCCTCTGGTGGCCCCCAGCAGCCGTATAAGTCAAGTCTTAAATTAGTAAATTAGATTTAAAAACTGGGGAAGGGGTGACTAATGCGCACAATATAAAATTTTGGTTTCTAAAGTTGTCCTCATTAAACAAATTAAATCATTTTATATTCATAATAACCTATTTTTGGGTTTAAAAAACCCCATTTCTGTTTAAAGACCCTTGGTTATGATTGTATCATGTGGTAATGGTTAATGGTTTTAAATTTACATAGTGCAAAATACAAAAAGTCTCTATGCACTGTAAACACTTGTTAGTGTACAGATGTTGGGAAATGTGAAAGAATAAAAAAAATATATGAAGATGAAAACACGAGCCAAACATTTTTTTTACCAATTGAGTCCAATATACTATCAAGGGGTTTGGATGGTTTTGCAATGTGCTTTTGATTTGCAGGGTCCAGGAATTTTTTTAAACAAAAATTTACATTTTTACCCCAAATATAGGTTGCTATGGGCATACAATTATTTAATTTTTTTTAATTGAAATACCAAGTGACTCCTGTACTACAGTGATCCAATCACAATCAAGGGGTTTGGATGTTGATGCTGTGTTTTCTTGGAGGTTTTCAGTGTATTTTCAGGTATTTTTCACTTGCACTCATAAAATAGGTTTATGAACATAAACTTATTTAATTTATTAATATAAAAAGTGAGTACTATATCACAATCAAGTAGGTTTTTTTGGGCTCTACAGTGGTTTTTTTAATTTGTGGGGTTTGGCAGGTTTGTGGGCTTTCCGACCTTTAGCAATTAGCCCAAAAATCATCAATGAGATTTCTCAAACTTTTGGGTCAGCTTATACACCAGAATATAGAGTATGTGGTACATTAAATAATATAAATTTACCAGGCAGTGTAATGAATTGATAGTCTGTAAAATACAAAGTGTTATTGTTATTGTTGAGGTTAATAATCAATTAATAAACATTTTTCTTATGTACTTAATTGGAAGCAAGACATGTTCTACCCCTTGCATTTTAATATGAGTGAGTTAGAAACGTTACAATAGTCTTTAACAATGAAATTTAATAAAACCTGTTACAGTTTATTCTATGAAGGTACTGTACTTGCTTTTTGGTGACAATTCACCCCATATAAGACTCTGAAGCTAATTCAAGACAAGAGGGAAATTGAATTATATATCCAATAAACCCTGCTGGTTAACATCACTGAGAATTTTACAAAAAGTTAAAGTTCAAAACAATCTTTTTAAATGGTCAATATATTAATTCAATATTGACACTAACAATTCAACACACACATTTTAAAAATAAAAAAATTAAAATATCATCTTGGATATTTACAAAATTATATTATTATCACTAAAACTCACCAACAACATCATTCTGTTTCTCATTGTGATCGTCATCATCCGATTCACACTCAGCATCAACCTCTGAAAGAATAAACAAGTTAAAAACTAAAAATTAAATAAACATGGGGAAAATACATAATTTAAGTCTGCAAGTATGTAGTCTTCATCAGTAAGAATGTTGTCTGTTATGTATCGCATTTCTCAGTCCACCATTTTACATTTTAACATCATTTCCTTATATCCTAGAAAATAAAAATATTAAAGATGTACTAGCATATAACTGTGCTCCGCACGGTCTTGAATGAGTGGGGAAAGGTGGCGATGTACATTGTTGAATGTTATGGGAAGTCGAGGAGGCAATCGTTGTGGATATTATGGTTAACATGTCATTATTTTTCTAAAAGACGTCTTTGTAGATAATTTTATATAAAATTTCACTCATACTCTCTAGCTTTCAGGGGTGGATCCAGAATTTTCCAAATAGGGGGAGGGGAGGGGAACAACAGTTTTAGAATAGATAAGTGAGTAGCACATAATATTAATATTCTAAAATTTAGTTGCAAAATTGGGAAGCGTGTCCCTCACCCCACCCCCTTACTGATTGGTGGAGCTGACTCGACCATACTTAAACTTCAGTGCCGCTATCTTAATGCACTAGGGCATTGCGGAAGAACAGCCATTTTGACCCGATCCAAATCGACCCAGATTTTAGAGAGAGGGGAATAGGCCTAATATAGGCCACTCATGTGGCAGCGGTTAGCCCTAGCCGAAATGATTAGGCCTAGCTTATATCATGCCTTTTGCACAGGCATATCTTTATTTTTACCTGATCGATTTCTAAAACATGCCAATTTATTGCTGATGTTTTGAGCCATATGATACAGTAATATTCAGTATACAATGGGTACTCCGTAGCGTTAGAGGCAAGTATGGGAACATGCTGCTCATATTATTTCGTTGACCTGAAACATAGACTGTTTCATTTGCGGCCTGGGGCGATATTTTTCAGATCTGAGCACTGCAGTACAGATTAACAGAGGGATTTATAAATAAGCAACTCGCGAAACAGGTACATGATTTCTGGTGGCTTTTGGTTGTTTTTTCATTGTTATCCAATACCCAGCCTTTAAAAGTAGCGGAAAGTGGTCGTGACATAGAAACCCCAGAGTATGAGACATGAGCACATTCATACCAGCCGTTTCAGAAGAGATAGGTGAACTTACTCCCGGGCGTTTAGTAGAATTAATATATAGATAGATTGTCCCCTGTAAAAAAATGACCAACAAATCACAAAAATTAACCTTGAAATTAACTTGCTGACTTTGAAGAAACATAAAAATTATCAAAGAAATTAATGTATTTAAAAATGTTTTACCTGTTTTTAAAAAATATTATGTGGGTACATTGTTTAAAAATGCACTCATTTCTATAATGAAGTTGATAATGATTCATGAATAACATCTTTAAACAAAATATTGATCATTTAAAATATATGTACTGTACCTTCTAATGGATTTAGCGTTACTTCATCTAAGGATTTTCCTTGTATTGAGGTAATACTCCCATTCTCCAATGCCATCAGTAATTTGGATACTTTTGCAACTTGTACTGTAGCATTAGGTAAGCGATAATACTCCCGATGGACTCTAACGTCATGGCCTAGAAAATTTGCCAAAACATCTAGTTCGTTATCCTTCAAGTTCATTATTTGTGAGACCGTCGCAATATGCTTTCGAAGTCTAGTGGAACGAATTAGTTCAGGTTTTTTACATCCACACGCTTCTGCATATTTTCTCAAAGCATCGCAGCCTCTTATGTGGTTTAGAGACCCTACAACTGGGAACAGAAATACATTATCTTCATTTACCACTTCTCCTCTATTTTTAATCAGCAGATCTATGTTGTTCTTCATGTCTTCACTTATCAGCAATGGCACTGTTCTTCCCCTTTTTCCAACTATTTCTACTCTCCACAGCACTTTACTCAGTGCTTTCTCCCACTCTGTAAGAGGAATATCAGTGACACTCTCCTCACCTTTTTTACAGTTGTTAACAAAATCAGAGAGCCTAATCTTCGAAACTTCCCCTTGTCTTCTCCTGTTAAACAGGATGAGCTGTGTCAACACCATTTCATTCAATTCTTTCCAATCTAGAGAAGACGAACTTACTCTCTCCTTTAGGTACTTTGTCAATATAACAATGTCATCTGTAAAAGGAAGCAATTTGGGATTGTTTCGTTTTCTTTCATGAAGTGTACGTAATGCCTGGCCTGATACAGATTTCTCCCACTTATGGAATGTAGTTGTTCGAAGTTTTGGCTTCTATTCTGTAATTCTACGTCTCCTTTTACAAGAGCATTGCCTTTCTGAATGAGAGAACACGTTTTCAAGCTATGCCCTAGTTTAAGCGCTAAGCTTGGAATGCTGTAAGTTTGTGTGCATTCGTCATATCCGGAAACTAATTTTGCAGCACTTACCACATCTAAAAAACATTCTGGATCAATCAATGAACTGAGGCTTGCATTAGTGGACTTTGTTAGTTTTCTGAAGGCGATCACAAGTCGTGCAACTTCTCTCATCTTTGTTCTTATGTTTGTATGTTGATCTGGGTCATGTCCATGTTTAGAGCACAGTTTTTCACCGAACTGGAGTATAAGATTATCACACTTCACTACCTGTCCAACACTGTCGCAAGTTAAGCCAGACAACACTGTTTTTAGATGTGAACTGATTGCTTTTGTAGATGGCAAGAGCATCTTTCCCTCAGTCACTCGTCGATTCCTCTTCTTTGATTTTTGTGCATCATCTATCGGAAGTTGGCACTTATGTTTCCAGAGTTCTCGTTTTGCAAAGTAACCATAACAGCTTTGGCAGGGTACATAATCTGAGGCATGAGCTTTTCTAGTGGGTCTGTACACAACCACCAGTTCACCAACTCCATCTTTGAGAACTTCACAGTTATGTAAAAGATTCCCCAAGTTTCTCATTTTTGTTAATTTGGCAGATTTTTTCTCCTTGTTGTTTTCATTCAACCATTTGATCACTGATTTTTCATCTTTATGTAATGTGGAGAGATGTCGTGGTAGCTTCTTTTGTGGAATATGACAGTACATACAATAGTGGACCTTGTCCCAACGCCTTGCTTCCGTGTTATTTGTTGTCATGACAGTGATTCCTGTATCCTTTACAGAGGTTGATACCACTTCTTCCTGTACTTCCCCTAAATCATTAAGGGTGTTTAACATTAGATTTGGGTATAATGGGTATAATTGACTTGTATATTCACAAAATAATTCTTCACTATTTGGGACCACCTCACTGTCTTCTCTGTGTATATTTCCATCATCATGCTGGTCATCTTCAATGATTACCGTATCTGCTATACTAGAATCATCATCCTCTATATTATCGTCATCTGGGTTATCATCATCCTCTACATTATCATCATTATCTGCTGTACTTGAGTAATCATCCTTCTCATTATCGTCATTATCTACTGTACTCGAATCATCATCGTTCTCATTATAATCACTATCTGCTGTACTTGAATCATCATCCTCCTCATTATCACTATTTGCTGTACACGAATCATCATCCTTGTCATTATCATCATTACCTGGTTTAAAACTTGATTCATCATCCTTCTTATTATCATCAATATCTGCTGTACTTGAATCATCATCCTTCTCATTATCATCAATATCTGCTGTACTACTTGAATCATCATCCTTCTCTTTATCATCATTATTTGGTTTAAGCCTCAAATCATTATCCAGGTAATTATCGTTCCTCAAACCACCAACCTGTCCATTATTATCTTTTGCGCTTGAATCAACTTTAACTGTGGAGAAGTTTAAAAAAGAAAGTATATATGGACTTAACAAATTTAATTGTTATCTATTAATGCATGTAATTATTAAAATTATAAATTTTTGAAATAAATAATTAGAACATGATAAATTCACCAACAACATAAATATGGTATAGAGCATGCCAAGAGAGGAACAATGTAATTTAAAAAAAGGGTTATCATCTATGCACATTTACAGTAATATGCTCAGATTTGAAATCAAAATTTCTAATCGTATTTTCAGTGGTTTTATATATTTTAATAATTGTAGATGTGAAAAAGCATCACTATAAGTAGCTTTTGGGTTTGTTTGTTAGTCGATAACACATATTCCTTAATTTTCATTATTCCGGGGATTCAAACCGGCTTTGTTTTGAGATTCGGCTAACTGTTTCGAGTTGATGTACGGTGTGCGAGAGATGGTGTTGAAAATCATAAACTATTGCTGTTTAGCTGATTTGTATGAAATTGTATTTGACACACAAATTGATTGAAAATTTACAGAAAATGCCCAGGCTAAACAAAGGTTATTTGAAACTAGGCAGGCCAATAGAAAATTAGCGAAGACCCTGGAATTCTACTCAGCCCTTTGGTTTTATCCAGTTTTTTGTTAACTCCCTTTTTTTTAAAGCACTCTTGCCCCAATCTAATTTAATTAAGTGATACTGAAGTTTTTTGGGGGTCATTACAAACAGTGTAGCGGCAAAGTTTAATGGTGGACCCAATTCAAGAGTGAACCTAATACAAGTGTGGACCAATTTCAGACTCAATTTAATGCATGATATTGACTGTTGTGTACCATGTTTTTAAACTGTATTACTTATTGATAGCAGTGAAGTGGAGGGGAGGAGGAAGGGGTGACTGCCAGACAGGAGCAACTCACCTTAGAAAATGATTTTTCTTGTTTTAAAATGTTTAAAAATTTGGCTGGATGGATGACCACCCTAAAAAATATATATCTTCACCTCAGTTCACCATGGTTGGGCCTGACGTTGAAACAAATATAAGGATTTGGAAACTCTGGATCCTTGGTAATGGCACTCTCAGACCTTAATATTTTTTTCTATGGTTTTAATTTTAAATATAATACATCAGATAACTTTACAAAAAATAGAATAGGCCTAGGGATGAGCATCTGGAATGTCCCCATCCACCTTAACCCCGGCCTTAATTTGGGCTGAGGTAAAAACTATTATGAAGTGGCAACTCATTGCACTTTCACATACACTACTTAAAAAAAATTTGATTACGGCAAACTTTTATCAGCGAGCAGGAGGGTACCTGGAGAGTTCCACCAGGGCTGGGACTGAGGTAAAAAGAAATAATGGTTTAGCAACCCTGGATGTCCATAAGCGACTTTGAAAATGGTTTCCAATGGTCTTAATTTTAATTAATTATTTGTTGCAAAAATAGGATGGGTACAAAAAATGTTCACATCAATCTCAGCCTCACCATGGAAAGTGAAACAAATTATGATAGCAATCTAGATGCCAGGAAATTATACTTTCATATTTCACATTTCTGTACATTTTAATCAGAGAGGAAGAATGTACAGTACTAAGAAAGTTCAAATTCACCTCAACCCCACCACAATTTTCAAAGGGCCTAATTTGATGGAGGATGTTCAATATTTAAATAATTGGGACCAATTTTACACCTAAAATCTAACTTATGTGGACCCACATTTTAAATAGTGGATCCATTTCAACAATTTTACCTTTTTATGCTAATGTGGAACCATGTTTTAAATGTGGACTCACTTCATGGGTATAAACTCAATAATGTAATATACCCTTTTAAAATCTGGGACCCATAAAATCAAACTACAAATCTAACTAATGTGGGCACATCTTTTAAAATGAACCAATTACATGCATATAAACTGAAAAGTGTGGACCATTTTAAAAATTGGGCCTCATATTTTTGTTCTTCAAATATACATATAAAAAAATAGAGCTTTTTGGTGAATAAGGCTGAGAGAGCGGCCATTTACCTTTCTACTACAACTAAAAAGAAAAGTGGTTACTTGTATTTTTTATTTTACTATGTGCAGTTTTTCCTACATAAGACCATTTTTAGTATTCTCTAGTATTTTAGGAAATTTCATTTTTTTTCACAATTATTGTACATTGGTATATTCAAACTTATATTCGAATGAACGTTTTTGGGTAGACCTCCCCTTTAAAAGTGTTGTTGTTATGCTTACATAAACTGGATTTTATTTAGTCGATGACAACAGATTGATGTTGTATCCTTATAAGTAGATCTGAACATGAAATTAATTTCATCTGCCAGAAAAATGTTCACTCTCTTACGAAAATCATCATATCTATATTATCGCATCAATTATAGTTTTATGTATCACTATCAAGAATTTTATGAGTTTGTGTCCTTCATTTTTTCAAAAAGAATAAACTACTAGCACTTAACTGTACAGTACTCACCAAATTTTGATAGCAAAGTATATATCTCTCCATCTTCATACCGAACTGTTACTTTCCCTTTCACGTAGTCAATGACCTCTCCTCTATAATAGTTTTTATTTCGCCACATGGCTAGAATTTTTTTTCCTTTAGTCAACTGCTAGAAAGTACAAAAAAGAAAATTCTCTTATATATGGCAATGATAATATTTTGACTATAAAACAACACATTCAATTTACAGTATACAAGATTTATACAAGGATACAAGGATACTTTATTCATCCCACCACGGGGAAATTCCATGACTGAATATAACAATGTGAAAAAGCAATAGACCATCTGATGATGATAATAATAATTTATAATAATAATAATAATAATAATAAATATTATTAATAATAATAACAATAATAATAATAACAATAACAACTTTTCTAATTCAGACTTGAGGGGAATATCTTTTGTGTTATCTTCCCCTTAAAGTTGTATAATTTGGTTTCCACTTAACATCGTTTTCTTAATTGTTCTCTAACTTCTCCATTGTCTAAGATCCCCTTGAGGTAGGTTTTAGATAAATAATAGTAATAATAATAATAAATAATAATAGTTTTTATAATATTATTTAATTTTTATGAACTTGTAATCAATACAGGTCACCCACACTGAAAACCCTCTACCTCTGACGTTTACTATTGAAGTCCCTAATTGCTCTGGGGAGGAAGAAGAGACGATGGCTTTCTGTGGAGCTCCATGGCAGCCGCAGTCTACTGCGACATTCCATATAACTGCTGGCAATATCTGAATGAAGGAGGTGGCTTACGTCACCACATATCGATCAGAACTTCTTGCACAACCGTTCGTGGTAGACTGAGTCCACCACGGGTTACTCACACCCAACCAAACTCCCTGCCCTCCTCACCAGCCTATCAATCCTATCCCTATCTAGTTTATTTACATTCCCAACCCGGGCCAATAAGCAATACCACCCCCACCCCCCCACAGAACCAATTACAGATAAATAAAACATATGCAGAATTTGACTACTGACATTGAATAAGTACAGTTTACGTAAGCAATACATGCGTGCATTGAGTTTCTTTGATATAATCAATATTTCCCCCCATGACAGACAGATATCAAAAACAACCCCAGATACTAGAAACCCTTTCTACCCTTGAATTCTTGATTACTATTTCTCTAGCCTCAACCCTTTTTTTAACACAAAAGTCAATTACCAAATCTATTTATTATCGGCAGTATATACTGAAAAGAGGAAGGGAGCTAACACTGTATATCCTGTGGTGTGCCAGTATTATATTTTACTGTCTGTGACTACCCCATTATTTTTTTTCATTGAATTGCTAAAAAAAAACAAAAGCTCCTTATAAAATTACCATTGTTTTGATGTAGAAATTATATAAATTTTCAAATCATTATGGCAGAAATTTGGAAGTAGATGTTTTTAACAAACTTTTATACAGTATATGCTACTCCATGATAGTTAGCTGCACTGTTGAAAGTTTTAAGGTAAGTCTAAATTCCTGATCACTCTCTGGCAAAATTGGTCAACTTGTTTATATTTTTGACAGTATAGGCCTACAGTACAATACTTTTATTATTTAAAATTTAACACTCTGACCGCCAGGGGTTTTTATAGTATCAGCTACCGCCAGACTTTTTAGCGAATTTTAACATTTTTCCAAGCAAGCTCATTGAGAGTGCGTATGTGATGAGATTGGTATGTAATTTATAAATACTACAAGAACTAAAAACATCTTAGCTTTACAATGGTACCAAACATGTTATTCTAATCAGAATCTGTGACCCGTAACAGTAAAATGAAACAGACTCACTTTTTGAGATTTACGCAAAGGACACTTTCAAATAGTGAAATACTTACGGTCCAGACTGAACATTGTGTTCAAATTGTTAGTACATGTCGGTAATTACCCCATCTATCGGGTTATGTAAAAACACCTGAAACACTCCGTGTTTGGCGGTCAAGCGTTGTGTTACAAAACACGGAGGTTTTCGCGTTTGGCGGGCAGAGTGTTAATTACCATCAGATCAGATATGTCACATTTCTATCACCAAGAGAAAATACACAATAAAAATCATACCACAGATATATCGGGTGGATTTTTTTCCTGACATCTTCTTTTGGGTCTTGACGCCATCTGTTAGTTAAAAAATGAATCACGAGAATTATATGCCCTTTCAATCTGTCTCTTATACACATCAGAGGTGTATAAGAGACAGGAATATAACAATGTGAAAAAGCAATAGACCATCTGATGATGATAATAATAATTTATAATAATAATAATAATAATAATAAATATTATTAATAATAATAACAATAATAATAATAACAATAACAACTTTTCTAACTGTCTCTTATACACATCTTACACAATAAAAATCATACCACAGATATATCAGGTGGATTTTTTTCCTGACATCTTCTTTTAGGTCTTGACGCCATCTGTTAGTTAAAAAATGAATCACGAGAATTATATGCCCTTTCAATTAAAAAAAAAAAGGTACTTTAGGAATTTCAACGATGAAACTAGTAACGTAGAACTCAAGACGAAATTTAAAAAACAAAAAAAACAAAAACAGCCAACTATGGAAATCATAGCGAGTCCACTTTATAATATCGATGCAAAACTAAAACAAGGTTTGTAAGTTTCTAATATGATTTTTGGTTTAAATAAACATAAATTTCAACGTTTGGTTCTTGAATCACAAATTTATGCTTTCTTTAACTTTTCTGCAAATTATTTTAAGGCAAAACTTATTAAGAACTTTGAGGAAAACAATTGAATGTCAAAAATAGAGCAGAAAGAATTGTATGCAACTTAAATTTTGATTTTGATTTTAACAGTATGGAAGTTAAAACATTATTATTTAGGCATCATAGGCAAATTCATTTAATACTGAAAATTAATTTTATTTTTAATCCTTTATATTCATGTTGGCCTATGCCCTAGTCTAGGATAACAAGATGACGGGTGAATGGGCTAGTTAGGCTCAGGTAAGGAATATGTAGGTGGCTCTCACTCATCAGACTGAGACAATACATGTTTATTCAATATTATAGGAAAGCAGTCAATTTTTTTCTTTTTTTTTTGCTGCAGAAACAGAGCCGAAAGTTTGCTATAAAATATTGGATGATAATTTTTTGTTAACAGCTCAAAATGCGAAAAAACAAACAAACTTCTTTGTGCGAAGGCAACTAATAGTTAGGAGACCCGGTATTATAACACCTAATAAATAGTAAGTAAATTTTCCGGACTTAAATATAAAAAGCCTTATCTCTATAGCCTCTCTAGACCTAGATCAATCTAAGGTCGCGAATAGCTAGGGCGGGGACCTGGCCTACATAGTGTATTAAGGCTTAGGCCTAGCTAGCCTAGCTAGCTTTCTTCTGTAAGGCATAGCCAAAGCCTGCTGATCTTATCTGTTGGCCTTACGCAAGCCCTATATTCTAATAAACATGCTCTTATGCATTTAAATGAAATAGTTATATACAAATTTATGAGAATTTAAACAAAATTACCTTCATTAAAAGTTAAAGCACGCCGGCTGGAAACTTTGGTAGCCTACAGAATACAGACGTTCAACGCATCACTGTCCACGTTTAGCGCATAATGTGTATACACAAACCAATACAACGTCTGGACAACTGCTTGCAATCATTATACCGTGAACGCATAGTTTTCTGAACTTACACACAATCTATAACTATCTATAACATACAGCACTGGGTGTAACACCTTGAAATGTTCTAAATCGATGGATAGTGGACAATCATCAGCTCGAGTTGAAATTGATAGAGAGCGCCACCTAGACCGCTAGAAAGCGTTTAAAAGCAGTTTTGGAACCGTGGACGTCCACGGTTCCTGAGCTGTCCACGACACGAAGGTGTGTAATCAAAATGGCGTCCACGATTGAAGGCAAATACATACGCACACACACACACACACACACACACACCCACACACACACACACACACACACACAAGAGTAATATGATAAAAAAGATAAAGCTCAGGTCTCCAAATATATGATACTCATTGTGATTCAGGCTTGGCCTTCGCCGAAGACTTTCAAGTATTTATGACATACCGCAATAGCAAGGTAGGTATTTGCAATTAATTAATAGTAAATGTTATATTTGAGCATTTTGAAGATTAAAGAAAATTCTATTGGAAACTTTTAAAAATTAATAATAATAATTAATCCAGCGGCACGCAAAACTAGATTGGTTGTGCTATTAATATTTTACTCAAATTTCAAGTTTCAAATTACCTTAATATTATTTTATAGGTTAATTCTAAGTTCCGAACACAGGAAGCTCATTTTTGAGCTCAAAACATTCCGGAAGTAGTCCAGGGGGTGTGAAGCCCCCCCCCCAAATATTTTAACATATAAGTTTCATAGGCTTATTTAATCGATTTCAGAGTCTACTAATATGTAGAAAATATATATGACATTTTTTTTCTACTTGAAAAATGTTGGTCTTTCTCTCCGACTGGGGGGATAGTGGGAGCTTTCTCTGACGGGTTCTCTTCCCCCTCACCCGGCCCTGGCGACACTCCTGATAGTGCATATACGGTAAACATTGATTTATTCAAATAAATGTTATAAAAGACACTGACTCAATCGCGCTTCATACTTTAAATCAAAATAAATTCTTGTTAAGATTTTCAACTTTGTTGAAGTGTTGAAATGTATACATAAGGTTTTTATAATCGAAGCGCAACCTACAGAGTCAAGTGTTGATACTTTCACGGGCAGATTGCCAACAGCGGCGTCCGAACCAATGAGCCACTTGAAGCCTCGATCAGGGTCTCGGAGTGAAAATCCCTGGTAGAATTCATGGGGAGATTTTTTATGGCATGGTATCGCCCAAATTTTGATCATTTAGACTACCATATTAAGGATTGACAATTAAAATAAATTTATTGTATAGGAAAATTATTATTTTTGGGTCTGACAAACCCGTCGTAGCGTCGGACGACGGGGGGGGGGGGGGGGTGTGA